TGATTACAAAAACCTGTTATACTGGAATTCTGGTAGCCAAAAATGTCCAAAAAAGATGCAGACAGTATCATATGGAGTAGCACATTATAGATTATTAGTTTTTAAAGGCATATCTTTTTTTAAACTATATTTTGTCATGCATTTTTGAATACATATGTGCTTATGCTCTTCTATTTGCGGGAAGCATTTTGATATTTTCTTCCCATATACAAGGCTTAGAAAAACCTGTTATACTAGAATTCTCATGGCCAAAAATGTCCAAAAAAAAGGTAAACATTATTATATGTACTATCCCGTAAATGACCCTGGGTATGAAGTATAAAGGCGGTTGGAGGATCAAATGGTTTATCTACAGTTTATTCACATTTAATCTTTTGATGTGGAACAAAAACCTTCCGTACTCCACCCTCCCTAGGAATAAGTAATGACCAGTTGCGTATGATATGCATGATCAACAAATACCGAAATCCACCTAATAAGGCTAGATTGAAAAACAGTGACAAACCTTGAGTTGTTTTGTAAACATAACGTACCGGGCATCTTTGAGTTGAATCCAGCCAGATTCTTTCTTGACTTACTTTCTTGTTCCATCGTCGTTTCTTTGCTCAACATCGAGGACAACACGATAAATCTTTCTTCAGATACAGTTCAATGCATAATGAATGTAAATTTGCTTACCAATAGCTTTTATCTTATTGGACTATTGAACAAATGAAAAAATTATCCTGCGAAGCGCCTTTTATTTAGACCCGAGATAAAAGGAATGCCTTTTGAGAATTGTTATTTCGTGCTCAATATATCCCTTTGTTCAAAATTTCTGTAAACTCCCTTATAAAAGGGGGCGGGGGTCCTCTTTGTCCCTTTAAGGGTTTGAAATCAGGGTTTTGGCCCCGCTTAGGGTGATAACGACGGGAATGCGCACCAACTGAATTTTGTGGTCCCTTTTAGGGTATAAGATCTACAAAAAGACAAGCGATTTGTATATGACGACATCGTCATAAACTCGTTAGAGCAGACGGCGTTTGATGAATAAAATCGAGAACCAAACAAAAATAAATGCGTTATTGATTGGTCCCTCTTAGGGGAGAAATTTCATCACTGCCACGCCCATCATCTCAAAATACAGGTCCCTTTTAGGGGGCATTTTCGGAATTTCCGACGAGGACCCCGCCCCCTTATATAAGGGAGTCTCTCCCCCCGGGTGTCAGTCACTAATTAACTAGCTTTGTTTTCTCACTTTGGGCCTAGGGCCTCACTCTGGCTCCCATCCAATTTTCTATAAAGTAAACTTGAACACAAACACAATCGCAAAACTTATAGTCATGATGATATTGTGCGACATTTGTCTCCCCCCTCCCCCTCCCATATATCCAGGCATTGCAATGGGTGTGCTCTAACATCACATGCGTTACCGTACTCGAGTAAACGCGAGGTTCTGAGTAAATACGTACTTTTATCATATGGTTTTTAAGGGAACATTTTGCGTGCATCGATGTAGTGCATGAGCAAAGTAACACACAGAGCACACAAACTCACTGTACGCGATGTACCTAACCAACTACTCCTTTTCTCCAATATAAACTGGTACACGCATCGGATACAACATGTCTATGCACAGTGAACCCGATGTATCTAAAGCAAATCATGCACATACAAGTTGTACCGTGACCGCGTGTCGTGACCGAGCAGTGCGCGCTTACAGAATGTCGTCAATCTCGAACAGCTTTTCATTATATTATATTGCGCGCTGTCTTTGGCTTACAGAATGTCGTCAATCTCGAATAACTTTTCATGTGGGCAATCTCGTACAAGTAAAAGCACACCAAATTATCAGGTAGCCACACCTGTGCATTGAAGTGAGGTTGGTGATGACTTTGCATTGATACTAGACACAAGTGAATAATTGTCCAAGGTGCTAAAAAAAGGTATCTATCATTGCAAGGTCACCACCTTTCTTGCTTCATGCACAGGTACCTTTCAAGGTTGAGGGAAAACCTGGGTCAAGTTGGCATTGTGAGACCATTTAGGGGACATAGTACCCAGACATCTACCTGGTCCCCTACAACAGTCCCACAATGCACTGCAATGCCAACTTGACCCCATTTTTTTCCTCAACCTGTGAATGGCTAATGTTCTTACCTTACATATATATTATTCAGATATCTCAAAATATTGACTACAGTTTTTCCTTGTGTAACTTGTGTAACAAAATATAATTTTTTTTAGTACATGGTTACAACAAATTCTTCACATATTTACAATAAAATTTTTTTCTTTAAAAATTTTCTATCCAAAAGAATCTTTATTTTATTTTAAAAATCATCTGTTTTTCATTCTTTGCTATTTGATATTARCACTTATATTAGTCCCTTTGTTTTATAAATCAAATTAGTTTTTAATGTCTTGTATTCTCTTAACAAAAATGATTTTTTTCCCAGTTTCATCTATGATTGAAGTAAAGTTTCAAACAAGACTTGTATATAAAGACACAACACAATAGGGGAATGTCACAMTTGAAGTATTGTTTTAAACAAGGCTTGTAAATAAAGGCACAATACTCAGGGGAATGTCACATGGCCTGAAATGGGGGAAAAACTGAACTAAAAAGGTCTATGAAATATCAATCATTCTAATGGAGCATTTTCCTATTTCATCACATTTGGTTTTAAGCCTACAACTATTGTCTGTTCTAGTGTGAGGCTTACACATTAATTGGGCCAGTATCTTGGCTATTGTTACATCATTAATAGGTCCTTACCCTGAAGTGACGCTATAATCTTAACCCAAACCAGCAACACCAAATAAGGCATGGACAATATTGGACTACAAAGCATACCATAATTGCAATTGCTGATAAAATCAATATAGCAGTATTTTAGAGAGAGAATGACTGTTATTAACATGTGATGTCATCCCTGCCGAGAAGGTCGCATGTGAACATGAAAAACTGGGGGAGACGAATTGGCCGGGAGCGATAATGTAGACTAGAGAGGAGAGAAATGGGAGGCTCCATTGTCCCACCCAGCCTCCATGTCCTGACATCCTCCTCCCCATAACCGTCAACATAAGAATACCATTTGAGCATGGTGATTTGAATTACAAGCACATATATTAACTAGTATATAATACGAACGCATTGAAGAATAGTATCTTTCATAACGTAGTGGCTTTCTTTAATTCTTGAATCCATCTGAATATGTAAAGAAATAAAGTGTCCAGTTAGTCTCTCTAAGGATTATAATAGGAACTTGCAATAAAAAAAAACATCAAAAACCTGAAACAATCTCTGGGCTGATCATAGGGCTTCAGGGCATGGCTAACTCGCAGTTCGAATTAGGATTTAGCTCGACATGTTAGGTTAACGGAGGGAGGAAAACTGGAGAAAAACTTTGGAATCAAGGTAGAGACCTAACAAACTCTACTTAGTACATTGTTGTGTCCAGGAATCAAACTAAAAGGCGGTCAAGGGGAATAGACCTAATTCCCTGTCTTTCCATTTCAGTCCACATGTCATTCCCTAGAGCATCATTTCTTTGTTTAAAGGTTGTGCATGAGAAGACACATGAATATAGACACAACTCGAACAAAGAATCTTATTCCTAAGAGAATGATACATGGTCTGAAATATAAAAACAGGTGGTCGAAAGTTACCTCGACACTGAGGACGCGCTCTCTGTCTTGAATGTGATTGGTGGTAGCCCTGCATGCTTGAGTTGAAACTGAATTTCATCCTCCTACAATTTATTACAATAAATCTTCAATAAGTCATAAATAGAGTGTATAATAGTGATCTGCCTTCCTATTACAGAACACGTGCCATTCCCAATAGTACCATTTCTTTGTTTAACGGTTGCATGTGAGAAGACACTTGAAAATTGGATAAAAGTCCAACAGACTTTTATTCTCAAGAGAATGACACATGGTCTGAAACAGAAAAGACATTGCACCGAGACAAATTATTGGCAAAACAAAAACGAGTCGAGTTGTATTCACAGTCGTTTATTCTAGAAATAAGAAAGACATGTGATGTGTAAAACAGGTGTACCAATGTTTTGCAGGGATGCCATTGCAATAATATGCAGATACATACTCAGCCTCCTTTGATGCATAAATGCTCAGTATAGTTCTATGGAATCATTGCGATGCTTGATATCTGTATTTATATGATAACTGCATTTTTTTGGRGAGGCTATATTATGTCAATAGCTGATGACCTTTCAGAATCAGAATCTTTATTACCATCAGATAAATAAAAATTAGTAGTTACAAGGTTAGAGTACTAAATAGAGGGTAATTCGATTCCCAGAATAGCTAAAAAGCTAATCGAGCACGTGAGCGAACAGGTTAGATTAACATAATTTAATTTTGATGACATACCGTCCTTGTTGCCTCTTGAACGTTGTATCCAAGAATAGGTATAGTTTCTATAGCAACCACATCCTATTAAAATACATCAGTACAAATGGTGGAGTTAGTAAACCAATCAATCATCTGTTACACACAGCCAATGACATAATCGCCATCTTAGTCCATCATTATCATTATCATTATTATTGTTATAATAGTTATAATAGTTTATTCCCGAATGCATCGGAAGTGGTCCCCCAATCTTCCGAGCCAGAGTCTCGATCATGTGAAAGATGCTTGACAAAATTCGAACAGTTTACTTTCAATGTGGCAATGTTTTTACACATGGAAAAGAACAAAACATTTTTAAATGATTTATTTTTCTTGCCTCGCTAGCTTTATACGTGTAAAGCACATTGTCTTTGAGGACAAACCAAAGGCGCTTCCATCCATGTCTATTAGTGCGCTTGAATTTTAGGTAACCACTCATCTGACTTCCGCTATCGTGCCCAACAACCTGTGCGATTACAAAAATATATATATACTTATTTCAATGAAGGTAGTTACCAGAATCCTAGATTATAAGGCCCCTTTGGATACCAGCTTTTAGCTGCATGGCCTACCCTGTTTAAATAAAGGTTCCATTTATGCAGGGACGAATAAAGATCATAGTCAATGTTGTAGAGATTCCCACAATTCGAATGTTTTGGGTTTTAGTTTTATGTAACCTCTTTTCATTGTTAAACTACCCCCATACCATCACACCCCCACACTGCCCCTCCCCTCAGCTTTCCTGTCACTACTTGATCTTTAGCTTAAAAATTGGATTCTGTAATGATCTATTAATTTTAAATATAGATAGCATATCAGTGTAATGTCCAAATTAGGTTCTAGGATAACTATATTGCTGAAGGGCTGACTTTTATTTTTGGCGCTCCTGAGTTCTGTAATATAAATCATAAGAATTACCCCTGGCAAACTTTGGCCTTATTCATGATATTTTAGTACAAACACACTTCCTACCTCTGTACAAACTGAAGGTCTGCCAAACGCTTTGGATTTCCTCCTTGCATGACTTTTATTGCCTGGCTTGAATCGATGAAGGATTTCAAATTTTGGYGGTTTCCGGTGAATTCTATCGAGGTCTTCATTAGTCATGCCAATCGGTGATGCTTGAAGACGCTCAAAATCGTTATTACTTTCACTTTTATTTTGTTCTAAAAAAATCCAGATAAGAGAAAATAATGGGATAAATTACGCTTTTGTGGAAAATCGCCAACAGCATGGTCATGTTACAGAATAGACAAAGACAAACACAGAACAAGGGAAAACAGCCCTGCGTAATACAGGATCATATTAAGATATAGGTAAAGCAGACAAAGCCCCAGTATGACTTCCACGAGGTTGCGCAAAAAGTGGTAGCTTGCAGGAACTAAATCGTGGGCTGTTTGGAAACGCCATTTGTCTTTAATSGAAGGAGTCGAATAACCCCCACAAAATAGCCCTAGCTTTGGGCTGGTGAGTAATGTTTGCAGTTCATTCACTAGAATTACTTAATTCTGCTCAAGACTATTTACCTTTTAACAAAAAATCATAGCAGACTTCACAAACACGAGCCTGTACATAGTCAAGGTATGCTAATGGYGCAAGATTGTCAGAACAAGAGCCACAGACCACCTTAGAGAGAAGCAAACAATACACATTAGAATTATGTCTGTACAAGGGCTGGGCTTGAAAGTTTATGATACTGGAAAAACTGCATAGATGCTTAAAAGTAGTTGAGGAAATCCGGTCRATTTAAATATGGCATTCCAGTGCTAAAGGTCAATCCATTTGAACCCTTCAAAAAAGTCATTTTGACTCTTCATCCTACCGAACCTTCACAGGATAATTTGGATCTAACAAAGGAGCAGTTTAAAAGAAGTCAAATTGCATGACTCTTTCAGTGATCCTCTAAAAACATTTCTTAAAAACCAGAATCTAAAAACCAGAATCTCTGACTGCCTCTTGGCTAATGCATCAGTGGTTTGCTAGAAGAGTCAACCGAACAATGCTACCAAGGTGCGGTACTGTTTTGCCTCATTGTTGAGGTTAAAATGACTACAAAAAGGACTTGTCAAAATGACTTTTTTGAAAAGATGAAAAATGACCCCTAGGATCAAAATAATTCCTGTGGTTTTAATGTTGTTAAAGGCAACTGTCAACTYCAACCATTGTCTTTCCGAAGACGAGGACTTTTTTTAAGGACGATACTTTTTCCAACATGCAACAGCTGTCATGATTACTGTACCTACCTTTCCACATCCTCTGCAGTGATGTCTTCTGTTAGTCACGGTAAAGTTATCTGTACATAACATACACATGGTTACGCGCGCGTCTGGTATCCATACTGGAGCTTTCTCTCCAATCTTACTTTCCTCCTCTACTTCATCCTGAGAAAAAATTAAAGTCCAATAATAAAACTGGGAAAGAGTGAAGAAAATGAGGGGAGTCAAGAGGGTGAATAGTATGGAAAGCTACGATGTTATATTTCTCCGCTGTCTCTCAAGGCTGGGGTCRCTCCTTCAGTTCTCGAAAGAACAGCATATAAGAGTTTGAGGTTGTTTTAATATGTGTTGTTCTCTCCCTTACCACCAGGAAATGTTTCCTCCTGTTTTTATACCTATGGTTTCAATATTATGGAGTAGCTGACAGAGCTCTTCAGCTTGGGCGKTTTTTACACCTCGTGTCATTCCCTAGAGTACCATTTCTCTGTTTAAGGATTGCACATGAGGAGAAACATGAATATGGATACAAAAACAAAAAATGTTGTTCTCAAGAGAATGACATATGGTCTGAAATGCCAACACATTACGCCCAAGGTAAAGAGGTCTACTGATAGCTTTGTCCACCTCCTGGTGCAAGGACAGTAAGTCAAGTAAGTAGCTGATTGACTTACATTATTTGCAACTGCACCCTCTTTGGGCTTCAGGAACGTCTTCTTCTTGTCTGCCAAAGCATTTATTGCATTTCTTAGTTCCTACGAAAATGGGTAACAAATTCGACTTAAGAACTGCAGAGAAAAAACTGGGCTTTGAAAGATAATAATGATGACCTTTGTCATTGTTTTACCTCAATCCATTCATCTCTTTCCGCGGGCGTGCTGAGGTCAAAAAAAAAAAAAAATTTCCATGAGCTGTGTTATTAAAAGGTGAGAGCGATATTAAGAGCTACTCATTGTAGTACCTTGCTGACAGAGTAAATGACCTCATTTTGCTTATAATGYTGAACTCATTCTCGAAATCTGGAGACTCTGGAAGCGTGACCTGTCAATCAAAAACCCTTATGTCAAGAACTGTGGTAGAAATGAGGATAAAAGAAGATTTCCTTTGCTTGTTGTTTTAGGGATGATTCTATTTAGTGCAGTGCCTACCTACATTTACTCCCTTGAGTCATCATTTCACAACTCTTAAAACTCCAGTATGCGGGCTTACCCTCACTTTAGAGATGGTTAACCAAAGCAGAAATTAGTATAACAAAACAAGCAGCTCCTGGACTAATAGAGGCAGAGCCCTTTCCCTGTTAGTACAGTACCTTCATTCCCAGCAGAGGTAGTTTTTCTTTTAGTTTGTACTGCGTACTACCCACAGGTGCAGTGTAGAGGAGAACATCAGTCAGCTGGCAAGAAAAATGAAAAAATATTGATAAAAATATAATAATTTATGATGAGGCTTACTAGCACAATTCATGTGGGATTCCTGAAATGAAATATGTATTAAAAAATATGCGCAAGTGAATTAAGCAAAAATAACGGAAGGGGTCAACAAATGAAATATATTAGATACATTCACAGCAAATGTGAAACGTCAGTTGACAAGTGAAAAATTGTTTTCAAATTACTGAAAAGGAATCGGGAAAAATCCAAGTTAGAAAAACAAATTAGGAATATTTGTGTGTAGTGAGAAAGTCTGCAATAAGCAAAGTAAAATCAGGAAAACTATGAAAATGTAGTCACATTTGCCATTCGCGGGGAGAAAAAAAGTCAATGAATCTAAAACTCCCAAATACCAACACCTACCAAAAAGAAAACTCTTTCTTGCATGTCTTTTCTGCATAACTTTTTCAGAACTCCTTCTTTGATTAGATCCTAAACATACAAAAAATACAACACAGTAAACATGAAAATTTAAAAGCTTTGTTACCTACTGCTTCTATTGCCAGACAACAGTACCTTCCAGGGGCAGATCCAGGAATTTTAGAACGAGGACGGGGGAGTGGGTAGGTGGGGGGGTGTGGGGGTTGTAGGGTGACTATTATGAAGGTTTTACAAGGAATGCAAGGAAAATTAAGGGGAGGGGAAATTCTGGATCCTCCCCTGCCTTCTCATTTGCTTATTTCTTTGTAACTTTGGAATTTCTGTTGATTATTTGTTTGAAAGAAAGTAGTTTGGAAATATACGGATATAATCTATAGAGCATGGTGGCAAACAAGGTGAGGATTAAAGGAGAAGTGGAATTAAAGGATTTAGTGGCCTTTTGCAGAAAGTAAGAAAACTTGTAGGGTAATGAAGGAGTTTTCGTAAAAATACTTACGCGACCAGGTTTTACGATCTCTGCATTACCAACAAGCATTTCTTGAATTCTAAGCACTCGCTCAAAGTTATCCTGGAATAATCAAAGAACAGCTATTATTATCAACATATATGATAAGCATAATTCTCGATTCCAGAGCCCTGTCATTCTTACAGTGCATGCTTGATGAAATATTTCTTGCAATATTGATTGAAAAATTCCACTAGCAAAGAAAAGCCCTTGCATATTGCAAGATAACAATTGCAATGATAGTTGATAAAAATGAATATCTCTRGCATTTTGTTGAGGATGTGCAGAAAGAATGACAGAGCTCATAAAAAAACCATCTTCTTGTGATCTATCATCTTTATCTTCATCAACGCAATCAATACAGATTATCACTAAATTGTCATAATGGTTGCCGTCACCTTCACCATCGACCATCATCATCACTAGCATCATCACAATCAACATAGACATCCTAATCCTCATCGTCATGTATTATTATCACACATTAATAATCATTAAAACCAATTCATAAGTTTTAATTTCTCTTACTGCTCTTTTCATGGACTCGTTGATATGTGTCGCAACCTCTGATACAATGTCTAGAGCAACTACGTAAGAATAATATTATAGTAAATGGTTGTTACTATTAGTAACATCAACACACAGCTATTGTCAAAAACGTTGAATACTGGATACTACATACTGTCTAGTGAGTGTATTCCAAAACACATAATATAGCATGACGTAATAAAAATAAATAATAATTGTTTATTTTGTTTTTAATACAGTCCATWTGAAACTTTACAACATATATATAGGTGCTAGCTACATATAGAGAGAAAATTGCTGTCAAATAAATATAAATTTTACTTTTTATTTCAAATTAATGAGAACCACAATATGGCCTATTCAATATTCAATATTTTAAAAAAAACTGGATTGCATTGTTGAGAGCCAAGCACTCTCATGGCTAAGTCAGCTGTGCTTCATTTCAGT